AGATAAAGTGATTGCAGAGTAAGGTCTTCTTTCTTTCTCATCATTTGCAACCATCAATCACTCTTTTAAATACATTTAGAAAGCAACATTAATTGCAAAGAGTATAGTAACCTCTTGATAAACAACATGACTAAGAATAGTTTATTCAGTAAAATAAACAGCATTTAATCAAAAACATTTTCAATAGAGAATTAGATGAACATTTTTCAGGCCTTCATTTGACAAATGAAAAGTGAGGTAATTCATATAATAATAAGGTTGATTAGCGTTTTAAGATAAAATTAACACTTACCTAAGATGTCCTTCGACGTAACGGTTTATGTTGTATATCTAATCTAACTTGTCTCCTTTGAACGTCATATGAATGAAGAGGATGAACAGTTTATTTTGTGTAAATGAGGAAATTACAGCATACATTCATTGTGCTTCTTTAAAAAGTGAAACAGATGTTCACGATAAAAACTAACTTGTACGATTTCTTTATTTAGCACACGGTACAGAAGAAGAAGAAGTATAAAAAGGTATAACTAACAGGTGGGCCAGAAACAATGACACACTTTTGTTCTCTTTTCTTCCGAGTACAATCGAGATTCGAAGATTCCATCCTAAATGATAGAGAATTTTCTGCTCTACAAAATCCATTACCTTCTTCATTACATATTATTTCATTATTTTAAAAAATAGTGCAGAGTATCGACAGGTAAAAAGTATAACTGCGATTTCCTATCAAAATTTGGTGGCTTTTCGTTTTTGTGTAACTTTTCGAGAAATAATGTAGTAATTGAGTGAAGGTGATATAAAAATGGTCAACGGATTGAGCGGTATCATCCAGACTACGCTCTTATTCGTTCGATTACCCAAATTGTGAAGCTTTCAGTGCACAAGTTAATCTGTACTTTCTAACGTAGGATTTTGAAAAAAGCAGGAAAAGGCTAGCCAAACAACGCAGTGAAAGTGTGCATTATAGGATTTTGTAGAGCAGAAAATTCTTCATCGAATGAGTTTAGAATGGAATCTTCGAACCTCAGTTGTGTTCGGAAGAAAAGAGAATAAAAGTGTGTCATTATTTCTGGCTCACTCGTTATGTTGTTCAATAGGAGAAGGTTAACAAATTTATATTGTACATGTTCCATCTGTATGCGTAAATCATCTTCGATCATTGTTCATCGTACTCATTATCGGTAGTAGAGAGAAAGGTTTGACGATGGTCAATAGTCCGTAAGATTGACAAATTTTACATTTTTGACAGAAAGAGTTGAATGCATATCTGTACGAGAATCTCAAATATTTTCTCTGATCGAAACTGGAAAAAGACTAATATCTTTGCTTTTGTTCTGATGCAAATAGTGGACAACAACTCATAAACGAAAATCAATTTAAGCCGGTTAAAAATGATTATTATGTTTACTTAGAGTGAAACATTGTTATTAAATGTAGATTAAAACGACACATTTTGGTGTTCGAATAGGACTTGGTCAGATGTTATTTGATGTTCACCTTATCAGTATGTTTTCAACATTTCTCTCCATAAGACGATTGCGTCGATTATTTACTAGAACCAAAGCGCTAATAGAACGAATTCGTATGGGTATGTTACACCAATTTATATAGTACTCTTTTCGAAAATAAGACTGACTTTTTTTTTCTTCATATTTCTTATTTGGGGTTATATTAATAATGATAGAAAAAAACAGCAGATGGTTATTGATTGTTTAGAACTAAGTAAGTAGAACGATGTAACAGACAGTTTTAACGACTTAATTAAGTCGTTATTGCATTAACCGAATCGTTAAAATACCTTGCTATTTGATTCATACCAGTAAGTTGATCTAGTTGATATTTAGTTTTGTAAAGAAAATCATTGACTCTCTAATCAGTATTATTCTTGAATAAGATTTCGATTCAAGAAACAGAAACAAAAACAAAAGAGAAGGAGAGAGAGAGAGAGAGAGAGAGAGAGAGAAAGAGAGGACTATATAAAACACGCATTTCATGAAATCAACATGAAATGGTTGAACAATCTAGTCGATTTTTATAATTTAATTAATATTCAACGTAGTATAGTAAGGAAACTTGTTTCTGAAAAACAACAAAATACGCTGCATTTCCCACTAGAGATGTATGAATATTATTAAAGATATGACTTTAGATTCTTGTTAATTATAGACATAACAATAATAATGTAAAAGATTATTTTTGTTTTTATTTGCGATGGATAGATATCACAAGTGTTTCTCAACGAACCATCTGCGGCGAAAAAAATATTCGTACATACCTTAATGACACATCATCATTTTTCGTTCGCTTTTTATATTGTCTTCATAATGAGGGTAATGAATAGAGAGAAATATATGCATTACCTGCCGAAATAAAAACATGTCAAAACTGAAATATGATAATAAATCACATAATAGGTTGAATGAATAAGAAAATGTATTTTATTTGGATAAAAAAATAATATTCTTTGAAACGTGTAAAACTGGTGTTCGTTGTACATAAATTACTAAAAGTTTCTGATGCTTTAACAGATATTTCATAAATATAGTTCAAAGTAATTAAGTGTTAACGAGTTTTTTGTTATCTCATTGCGTTACGAAAAATACTATAGAGAACGATGAGATTTTTTAATAACTTATCAGTATGAAGCCGAATTAACTTTTTAATATTTATCTATCATAATATTATTTTATTAAATCGGCTTAGAGACGAGCACTTTTTCACCACATTGTACTTTGATGTTCAACTACCATTCAATCAGAAATAGAAAAAAAATATATGCAGTGTAAAACAAAAAAGGTATGTGTCATTTGCTTAACAAGGAAGCAATCACGCGTATTTTTCTTAGATTTGAACAATACATATCGTAAATAGTAAAGTAAATTGCAATCATAATCAATATAATATTTTGGGCTGTTAATTGATAGCTGAATTAGAACAATATTATATTTTTATTAGTCTAAAAATGATCCATTTTTCTGTTCGTTTGTGATTCTAACGCGTGCGTCATAAAGAATATGTATTTTGCAATTACCTCGGTCGGCTCTCATCATAGAGAGTTGAGCTTAGTCTCAAAAGTTTCCGCGTACCCAATAAGAATATATAAAAACTTTCCATTCAAAGTTGAAATGAGAAAATTTGCCGAGATAATACTGCGAAGTTTCAACATAGCCAAGTTTCCAGAGGTTTCTTTATTTTGAATTATTTTATACGGTAGCGTAAATATGAATACAGAAACATATCAGAGAAAGTCTGTGGGTGCAATCAAGTATCCTCTTCCTCCCAGTATACAGTGGAGTCAGTTTCAAACAAGGATTTCGGTTCTAAAACTGACGCCTAGTAGTTAAGTCAATGTCGAAAACTTGAACTATTTTGCTTCTTTTATTAGAATACGAACAGTGATTCAAGCTCCGATGATTGCGAGTGATTTATCATACATTTCTCTTCAAGATAAAACTAAAAACAGCTTCAAAGTTTACTTTCTGATCCACTTATGTTCTTTTTCTTGAATGGCCCAAAACAGCTGGTGCATGCAAAAGCGCAATTTGGGACCAAAACTAGAAAAAAGGAACGTTCTTTTCCATGGCAAATTTGATCTGAAATTTTTTGTTTACAGGTAAAGTATAGGGCTTTTCAAGCGCTACTGAATGACTGATTAGTTTTCTTCATGCCTTCAAGTGTCAACGAATAGAAAGTAAAAAATTCTTTTTTTAGGCGGGAAACTTGACTATTCTGAAGCTTCGCACCATTATCTGTCCAAATTTTCTCATTTCAACTTTGAATGGAAAGTTTTTATATATTCTTTTCAAAAATTGAACGGGGAAACGTTTGAGACTACGCTCAGCTCTCTAAGATGAGAGTCGATCGAGATAATTACAAAATACAAAAGAGCCTTTTTTTTTTGTCGCACTCGTTACATGCAACTGAAAAAGTAAGCAAAAAATAATATGGGTATGATTTTTGTAAATTGTTCAAAAATCAAAAAACAAAGTTTAAAAAATATTTCGTTCTAGGATTTGAAGGTTACGTTTATCTAATCAAGAAATGCTCACGAAAATTGAAACAGAAAACGAGACTACCACATTTTTTAGGCATATTCGGTCTTCGGTTTTAGCGTAGCATTCATATCTATTTTTTTTTAAAACATTTAAATTATTTTTTTATGAATTTTCTTCACTCAAACTTCTTTTTGAAATCTTTCTCATGCCGCACCTATCCATGCTTATTGTTGAACATCATCGGAGACTAGTTTTTAGTTTTCTTAACGATGTCACTATTATTTTACTAATTGTTTATATTAGTAACTGGAAAACAATTAACATGTTAGTAATCAAAATATATGCAAAATGACAAGCGTTTTTAGAAATTTAATTTTTAAAACACTGAATATTAACATGTTAATTTGAATGATTCTTTTTCTTAGTTCGTATTTCAGAACCGAAGCTTCGAACTGTGGTTCTAGAATTGAGGTGGGAGTATCTTGATACATTTTAATATCATAGTTTGGCAAAAGAAATGTATTTTTCTTCTCTGTGTTCCCGAAAATCCATTTATTACTATAGATTACTTTGAGACAACTATTGGTAATTAACTTTTTGTTAAACTATTAAATAGACTAATGTATCCGCCCTATGGCTAATTCAAACTGCACCTATTGATTTATAAATGCATTATTTTTTTTGAAAAAATCTCCGATCAATGTCTAAGCCTAGATATGTTTTCTATAGTTACCTGGTTCTGCTTTTAACTTCTATAGTAAGACGTCGATTTTTTTCTTTGCTCTGAAGGTGTAACGGTAAATGTTACGATAAATGATTCAGTTAGTATCGACTACTTATCTTTTTATCATAATAGAACAATGAGAATGTGTTACTTCTGTACAGCTGAGCGAGTAAATTTTTTATCGATTCCTGTTACCTGTCAAATAAATTATTATTTTACTTCACTCATTTTAGAATAAGTTTATCGAATACAATGTAAACTTTTTCTACACATATTAATCTATGAACGACATCGTAATAAAAACCACAACTATTTTAAGCGATATATTCGCAATAACAACGACAGCCGTTCCATTTCCATCCACAGATGTATTTTCATCAAATTCAAGTGATCAATCGCGACATCCAGGTATCAGTGATAGTCAACAAGCATCGATTGATGCATTCAATACCTTTATACAAATTGGTGTGGGTGGTCTACTGTTTATATTTGGTTTAACATTTAATTGTTTAAGTTTATTATATTTTTATGTTTCAAGAAGTTTTCGTCATACAACATTTCGTCTGTATTTTTCAGTTATATCTATACTTGATACACTTCGTCTCCTAGAATTTTTAATTTTTTTATTATTTGATAAACAAATTATCAAATTAACATTGGCATTATGTCGATTCATGTTCTTTTTCTTCATGTTTACAGGACAAGTAAGTAAATAGTGTATATTTAAACTTTTTGTGATTCGCTATTTTAATAGAATAGAAAATTTATAAGTAAAATTAATGAATTAGAGATTATTTTATACATCATACTCTATTAAAGAGTTTGAATGACTAAAAGAACAGTAACTAAAAAATAATAAGTTTGAGGATATAGATTAGTTTCCTTCATATTTAACTTTGTTTGAGATATCTCTGATAAAATTGTAATTAAAGAAGATTTTTGTTTTATTTGAAAATGTATAACTTCTAAGTGTTGAGGATGTTTTTTATACAAACTAATGGCCTTAATCTATTTTTCTAGGCGAGTATTTTTTTAACAGTTGCGTTAGCTGTTGAAAAATGTATTATCATCTGGTTTCCAATTAAAGGTATATATATCTTTACTATTTTTGTTAGACTCTTGTTATCTACTAAGGTTAATGTTTTTCTTGTTTGCTTTAGGTCGTCTCCTCTTTACCATAACAATATCAAAAGTAATTCTTATTCTTGTCCTATTACTTGTATTTTTTGCTGATTTAATTTATTTATTACCAAATTTTTTTCTTCAAACATATGAAAATTTTTCATTGCATACTTACATGTGTTTATGGCAAGCAGCAAGTTCTGGTCAACAAAATGCAACAACTGATGTATGGAAAAAACATTATTTTACATTTAATACAATATTTTTTCATTCTATTATACCGTCAACATTTTTACTTATTATTAATTGGTTAATATTGTATAGTTTATCAAAACATCGTTTTATTTTATCTGGATCAATTGATGCTCGACACGTACTAAAACGTGAAAAACAATTTAAAGAAAAAACAATACAATTAGTATTATCATCATTTTTCATTGTTATTGCAATATCACCACGTTATGTTTTAACAATGGTTAATATATTCTATTTAACATTAATAAAAAAATCATTATTTCCACTACATATTTATGTAAATTTAAATACCGTATTTAGAGTATTAGAAATGTCTAATTATAGTCTAAATATGATGTTTTCAATATTAAGGTACGTATTGTTATGTAAATAGCGTCTTCAATTAGTTTTTACTCTATTTTTTCACTTTTAGCGGTCGTACATCTCGTCGAGAAATTCATAAATTATTATGGGAACATATAATATCGCGATTTTATTTTTCGAAATCAAATAAATCGAAACATACACAATCGTATTACATTGACGACGATGAATATACTGAAAGATCAAATCATTCTACTGTCATTATACCAAAAAATATGAATCGTTTAATTGAGAGTGACGGTATAGTATCTCAACAACATGATAAGCAACTTCATCATCATCCAACTACATTTCAATTGAATTGCTGTGGTCTATGTATGATTGATACATCGAGTTTAAAACAAATTAAACAACAACAGCAAATTCGTTCGAGAAATTTAACAAAGAGAAATAGTGTTATAAATCGATCGACTATATCATCGAAAAAGCTATCAAAACGTACTCATTCGACAATGTCAATACCATATAGTGGTCAAGAATCAATATATTATAATTGGAACAATAGTAATAACAGTAGTTTTAAACAACAAACAACTAATAATAACCCCCAAAAAAAATTTCAACAACAAAACTCAAGTGCAAACGATCATCTATTATCGCCAGGTACACCACTTCATGAAACTGTTTACTGTTTTCGAAATATCGATCGATATGATTTGACAAAGAAACGCTATCATTATCCGTCAAGTATCATCTGTACACATTCACTACCATCGTCTGATATACGTTATGCTCTTAAATGTCCATCAATTAATGTTGGAAATTCTTCATTAAAATTGAAAAAATATTATTCATTCTCTACTGCATCTTCATCTTCGTCAATGAGTTCAGGAGTTGCAACAATAAAACAACCAGCACAAATAATGTCATCCTATTCATCATTAACATTTGGTGGTAATGGGAATAGACGATTACAAGATGTGTTTGAAGAGCAGCAGCCGACAAAGTTTACAGTATTATCTAATGACGATCGTGCTGGTGGTATTGAAGAACAGCAATAAAAGGAAAGAAAACTAAATCTATGCACATGTCTTTTTGTTGTTGTTAGTTTTTTGTAATTTTTTTGCTTAACTACGATTTTTCTCACAGATATTTAATGCGGAACAGTAAAATTACACTATCTGCAGTGACAAACTGGATATTTTAGCTAATTAAAACCGTTTGCTCATGCCTGATTGAAGAAGCGTCAGATACTCTTCTATATGATATTCACTGCTTATTTTCCAATTATATTATATTATTAGTTAAGAATATTTTATTCGGCTTGTGCTATTGACAGCTCCTCCTGATCTCAGAAAACAGTTAATGAACAGTTTTATCGACGGATACGTGAGTGGAATAATATGCAGTTAATCACGGCACGTCTGTTCAATACGTGTAGAAACCCATTCGACATATATATCTGCACATACAAGTCATACTCTTGTTGAAAATTTTATGATCTGAGCAAATGAAAGCGTCAATATGAGTGGCGGCTACAGATAAATGACAAATGTACCCTTGTATGCCACACATGTGTCAGCATGTACGACATATATTGTCTATTCTCTAATAATTTATGTTTGTAGCTTAGTAATATGATGTCAGCACCTCCGACCATGAAACTTTACTATTGCTTTCACCAATCATTCAGCAGATAATCCTAGATAATGACTTATTGTTTGAGACAAGAATGCAAATCGTCGTCATATCATATATACAAGTCTTCCAAAGGGCATCGGTTTATCGTGCCGAAGCTTTCTAGTCCGATTACTATTCGTCACACATTTATATAGGGAAGTATAGACGAAAAATTAACTAACTATACATCCCATTCACAATACGTTTTTGGCGACAACATATATTTTTTAAACTGCGTTCAAATAGTACTTGAATGCATCTTAGTTCAAGACAATATAAGATAGTTTTTAATGAGAAATGTATGTATAGAGAACTCCTGTTTTATATAATGTAGTAGAGGTATTCGTGCAGAATGAATATATAAGTGTTTCCTCGCTTTTTTGCTGAAAAGTAGTTTTTCATATGTCATTAAAGATGCTGATTGTAGACCTAATATCCGTTGCTGTTGTCAGGTGTTTCCAGCAACGAGCTTTTTTTAGAAACCTAAAACTGTTTTTTGCAACAATTTTTTAACAGTCATGGATTTTTTATTTCTAGAACTAACCAAAACAGCATAAAAACCTGTAGTTTGTTCTGGCCTTGGAGAGCTTCCCTCGCTAGTCTTTTCCCATAGAGTACCGATTAAAAAAGCACAAATGTGAACATAGTCGAAATATTTTTCATGCAATCTTAGTAGAAGTAGGAACACTTTTTCGAAAATGTTGGTCAGCGACCAGAGCAAATCTAACACTAGTTAACATGAATTTATAATTAACGGATGAGCAAGACTATAGTGAAAACAATTAATTATCAAAAAAATTAATTAAAAAAAGTAGTTTTTAATGACTAACGAGTGCTATTAAGCTTTTGTGTCTGAATTTCCTTTTGTGGCATCACCAGAGGTATACGCTCGACTGACCACTTCTCCTTTATCGACAATTAAATATTCTTCACGCTGTGGTTTACCATTTAACCAATTTCCTAACAATTCCCTTGCGCCAGCTGCATAGCGTTTTTGAGCATCTAATGTAGTACCGGAATAATGTGGTGTTAATGCATGATTTGGCATTGATCGCCACGGATGATTTTTTGCTGCTGGTTGTGGATACCAAACATCGCCAGCATAACCAGCCAAATGGTTTGATTTGATTGCGTCAACAAGTGCATCCGCTTTCATGATTTTTCCTCGTGCTGTATTGACAAGATAACTTCCTTTCTTCATCAACTTCAACATTTTTTCATCGAATAAATGTTCAGTTTCTGGATGTAATGGGCAATTGATCGTAACAACATCGCATACTTTAACCATTGATTCTACACTCGGATGATACGTAACGTTCAATTCTTTCTCTACTTTTTCTGGTAAACGAAATTTGTCATAATAATGTAAATGAACATCGAATGGTTTTAATCGTTGTAAAACTCTGAATCCCTAAACGATAGGGTTGGTTTTAACTAAAAGTTTACCCACTTACTCATTTCATAGAACTTACAATTCTTCCAGCTGCCACTGTACCAACATGTTTATTCTCCAAATCGTAAGCACGATCAACTATAGCAGCAATGTCCCATTCACCATTGATGACTTGCTTATATGCCGGAATATAATTTCTGACTAATGCAAGTATTTGCATAACTATATGTTCTGCAACTGAGACTACATTACTCCCTGATACTTCAGCGACAGTAATTCCAGCTTTGCATGCAGCTTCCAAATTAACATGATCACTGCCAACACCTTCATTTTAAAGAAAATGGCAATGTTTTTTCTTTTCAAATATCATCATCATTACCTGCTGTAATGGCTAATTTCAAATTTTTTGCCTTTTGTATCCGTTTTTCATCCAAGTAACATGGCCAGAATGGTTGACTGATAACAACACTTGCTGTCGGTAAATGCTGTTCGACAACAGACTTATCTCCTTCCTTATCCGATGTCACAATAAGTTCTAGCTGATTTTCTAAATTATTTTCTTTGATCCATTCTCGTAATCCCAATGCATTTTCAACACTTTAAACGGTAGAAAAGAAGAGTAAGCAGTTTTTATTTGCGATAGAGACAATAAGAAGTTAAACTTACCATCCAAGGATGTTTTTATTTCGTTTTCCAGCTTCACCACCTTCGTACAATACAGTTAACACTTTGTGTTTGGATTTTGTGGCTAATGAGCGTGTAATCGATACGTTTGAAACAGCAAATAACGATGCTTTTCTTACTGTATTGAACATTTTTATTAATTAGAGTTCTAAAATGTGGAAAAAAACACATTTTTTAAGGTTCTGAACGCTCAGGTTAGAGGTTCTGATCTCTGATCAGATATTCTGTTAAAGAGTAGCAAGAATCAGTTTTTTTCATGAATAATTTACCTGTGATGTAAAAGCAGGTGTGCTCTATTTTCGTATATCCACAAAACAAAAGAGGTATGACATTTTCACGTTGTTTTCGGGTTCTTTCTTTCCCCAATTGCTCTGATTTCTTGGTGTGAAGGCAAAAATATAGAGGAAAGTCGTTTTTCCAGATATCAAATATATTTTATATGGACAGATGCTTTTACTGCTGTGCTGTATTGGACTGTAGTACTGCTATTTTTATGAGAAAAGTATGTCAATGTTAGTCGACGATTGCCTCATAAAACATTAGATATTCTATTACTGGTGAAATAATTTATGTTTACTAACAAAAAGATAGATCCTTAGAGCGTCTTTTAAGATTTTAAATGGTCTGCTATTTTCTTATGAAGTCTTGTGATAAGATCTTTTGATATGAATTTACAAAATCTTGTCTTAAGGTCGTGTAAGATAATACTGTTTCTTGAAATGTACAAGATCAGTCTGCAAAACAATATTCGATTCATTGTCCATTGTTATTAATATATGTTATTGACAAAAATAAATTGATTTTGATTCAAAATAAGATGATACTAGATCCTGCAAGGTTCTTCGACCTGAATCAATATGATTTGTTTGCAAACTATAGATGGCATATTATACATAAATGAATTAACACTAGCAATCCTCGATTTTTGTGCATGTGTCTGATTCTATTCTTGTGTCACGAAACTTACTTGTTTGTTAACTCACTATACCAAAAATCTGAGAATGAAATGTTTTGGACTAACTTTTAATCATATTTTTTATCTAATTTTCTTTTTTCTGTTCATAAATAGGCAAGTTGAATGTCTCACCAAAGAGGTGTGTATTTCGTGTTTTACTGTGCCACATCTTTTTTTCTCTTCTTCTTTATCTAAGTTTAGAGTATAAAGTTTACATTCGTTTGATATAAAGGCGCTTATCTGCTTTTTTAAAATTTATGCGAGGAATATGTGTAATCGTCTATTTTCGCCTTTTAAAAACGAATAAGAAAAGAAACGACGGAAGAACGAGTAAAACAATAGTCAAGTCACATCCTTTATATTCTAGTGTTAGAAACTGGTTTGAAAATCAACTAAATCGAATGTAACTGTGTGAGCAAGTAATTCATCTCGAGTATAGATTGCTACTATCCATTTCAAACATTAAAGATCACAGATGTTTATCGAATAACTTTTGCAGGGAAAACACTAGAGACCTATGGTTTTCAGATTATGGAAGAGGACACCCGCTGGTATAAGTCTATGCTAAAATGAGTCCTTTCCAACAGCACTACCATGATGCACCTTTAGAAGCAAAACGGCCAAGCCTGCCATTGCAAAAGTCCTTATAGTGAAGCACTGCTCTAAAAGCATGTGGATATAGAACAGATGTCACTCTACAATCGGACGCAAGTCCCAAGTCTCCATCTACTGAGCTCTACAGGTAATCTACGCGGACCTGCCTATGGGCTAAACCTGAGCCCTGGGAACCTCCAAAGTGCACGGTACACAGGTTTTCGGGTACGCTGAACCTCGAGGCAATGTTTGTTTTGTTGTCCGGATTGAGGAAACTCCAAAAGATGAATTTTTCCGCTATGACAGTACTAAAATAAAAAAAGCTTCTAGCACCTTCATTTTTCAACCAAACTGCATGACAGTTGAAGAGTGAGCATAAGAAAAGTTGTTCTAGCCGATCTAATAACCAGAATTACAAAAAACAGAGCGAGTCTTCGATAGGTGTTCCAGAAAACTTCTGAAGATCTTAACGTGAAATCTCAGCATGAGAAATAACTCTAACATTCCTAAGCTGTACCGCAGGCGAAACTGAGTAAGTTTCGAAAATTTGAAGCAATTTAGTTGAAAATGAAGGTGCTAGAAGCTTTTTCCATTCCAGTACGGTCATAGCAGAAAAATTCATCTTTTGAAGTTTCTTTAATCCGGACAATAAAACAAACATTGCCACGAGGTTCAGCGTGCCTGAAAATCTATGTACCATTCACTTTTGAGGTTCGCAGGGCTTAGCCGATAGGCAGGTGATACAACTAAACCATAGGTCTCTAGTGTTTTTCCTTCAAAAGTTATTCAAAAACATCAGTGATCTTTATTGTTTGATGTGGATATGGCTTGTGGTTTAACCCATTAAGTACCAGATTTTTAAATTCTGATTTTTCTGAATTTTTCTACGTAAAAAGATGTATCGAAACAAGGTTTAAAAATAAAATTTCATTAATATATTATTTTATGAAATTTTTTCGCCTTTCAGACTTAGATCCCCCATAAATTTTCTTAGGCAATTTTCTGTCATCTGAAAGTCGTGCCGATTATTTTGCGAGGCAAATTTTATGCTTTCTTCAACAATATGTTGCATAATAAAAATATTTACACATCTGAAAATAATGGAATACTTAATGGGTTAATTTATACACTGATTATAGGCCAAAATCGAGCACATTATTGAAAAATTTAGAACGCAGATACATTTTGCGTCATACAAGGAACCTCTCCAGCGCTCAGTCCCGCTTTCCCCGAAAGACAGCTGATTATAGGTCAGCAACAGTGCTGATTTCGAATATCATAGTCACTTGGGTCCTTATTGTGTTTGAATCTTGTTTTTCTGAAAATACCAGAACCTAAAATATTTTTTGAAGCCGTTTGAAGTGTGCCGTCTTCTAGGACATATCAAACTGTACATGTCAACAATTTTGTAGCTTTCCCAAGTTCGTTTTACCAAAGTTATGAATTTTTGAATCTCAACTAGTGATGACCGTACGTATCACTCACTAAAAGTGAATTTGGGTGAAATTGTAATGAAAGATTATTTTGTGCACATTAAATCTGGATCGATTTTTGTTATTGTATCATTTAAATTTTTCAACAAATTATCGATAACATCTGGTTATGTAGATATAGACTTTTACTACTTCGTCCAATAGGAATATAATAACCACAATCACCTTGATCATTCAGTTTATTTTCTGTCGATTGGTCATACCTAGAATACTGTTCACAACGTTTTAAAAACTGATAATCGTTTTTGTCGGTCTTGCATACTGAAGTTGTTATTTGTAATATCAATTTACGTGTATCCTCTAGCGATACTGTTGGGCTTGTTGTTGTTGTTTTTTTTGCTTGATTTGATATGTTTGTAAAGATTCAGGAATGTAAAACACGACTTACTACTTTGGCAGGATGAACAAAAATAATAATTAGGACTCATTTTTAGTTACCTTTGAACTCCTGAACTACATCTAGATTGGATACAATGTTGATAACCACTTCAATACATCGTCACAATCCATATCATTTATGTTCATTGTTGTTTTGTGACTAGATGAAGAAAGAAATACGAGTATAGCAAAGAGTTTCACAGTTATCTAAAACAAAACAGAACACAAAAAATATACCAAAAAAATTACTACTGAAAACACTGTCGACTGCAAAACTTCAATCGTTGTACAAAATATAGACACAGAACAGTGGATTTAGTTTTGCAGTTTCTACAACGTTAAGTTCATGTGTTCAAATCTCTATTCCTACAAAACTGATTTTGCGTTTTTCGATAGTCCTAGTTTAGAATACTATAATGGAATATTTTTCCGCTAGTAATCTGACAAAATAAAGCTTATATCGACAAAAATACGGAAAAGTATAAAGAAAATCCTATAGAAAAAGTAAAGAAAAGACATCGCTAGACAAAAGAAAAAAGTAAGCCTAGCTTACCAGAAGTATCAGAGGAGATTTTCGTCAGATACGCATGATAACTGTAACTGCAGCATTTGAACTCTGAGTTTTTAGTAAAGCAAACAGCCAACTGCTAAACGAGTATTTATTGGAGAGATCAATGAGCCAATAAAATGTTGTTTGCGAAGTCGCTGGTGTGCCAAACGAAGAAAGAAAAACGTTCAAGCGAGTTACGTTCGAACCTTTTCATGCAATGACAAAATGGTTCAATACAAAAAACAAGCTAGAAGCTTTTCTGAAATGTTGAATCATTTTCATTTGAAATGGTTTTTGACATCGGCTGAGACCTTTGATGGTTCAGTACAGAAACTATCGCACCTTAAAAGGCTCTGCAGCTCCACTAGAACTCTTGAAGGTTCCATCCAGCACCTTTATTTTTAGAGAGTCGCAAACTGTTAGTTTTTGAAGAAATTCTAACGGCTCTAAAACATATCCGCGAAAACTAAAAAATCATGAACATACGCAGTTTGACATGCTCTACGTTTTGGCGCATTCAGAAATCGGTTTCAACGAAAAAGAGCTTTGTCACCCATTTCAGTTTTCGAGTCAAAAACCTAATAAGGGCTCAAACCATTATCATATTCGAAATCAGCACCTCTGATTACATATATAATCAACTATATTTCGGAGAAAACGAAGTTGGGCACTTGGAGAGATTTCCTGGTCAGTTTAACATATTTATGGATTACATGAACATCTAGTTTCAGTTAAATTTCAGATCCAATAGTTCATCGTTACCACGAAATATAAAAAAATACACAAAAAAACTAATTACAAAGAAATATAATTTAACTCAAATTGAGCAACTTTAAAATATAAAATCAGTTATCATTTCACCATAAAATATATTTACAGGCTTCTAGACTACTAACATAAAAGTATTAATGTTTAATCAGTCAGAAAATTCTTATGGAAGATCATATCTTTTCTACGTTCCTTTTAGAAGACTCCAAAATGTAATTTATCAAAATGATTATGGTTGTGCAACCGTATATGTTCAAGTTCTTGTTGTTAGACGACCGTTCAAAATGTGCTAGTTATTTGATAGAAGTAACGAAAAGATGAACAATAGTGGTAGTGAAATAGTTTGATGATACGAGCTACTTGTTACTGATACACTGAGATTATGGAACGCTGTTTTTCTTGGATAATAGTCGTTGTTCGAATGATTATATCGCGCAGCTGTATGTTGTTTTCGTCTATAATGTTTTGCTGTTTTTAAAACTCGAGGATGTTGCTGATAAGTGTGTTTTGTATGAGGTTTGAGATAATCATAATGTCGATAAAAAGGTGTTGTGGTTTGTAGTTGTCGAAAATCGTCTTCTGCTATACAGTATGTCTCATCAGTGTTCTCAATACGTTCCAAGTTAATTTCACAATATCCGTGTTGAATTGATAACTGAAAATAGATGTATCGAAAATTTTCTTTAATCGTATTTAGACGACAGTTTTTTGTGAAATATTTATATAGACAACATAATGATTCACGTAATTTAACGCAACGAAATTGTTGATCATCACATTTAGATGAATCACAATAAAAATGAGTTAAACATTGTCGTGGTATTCGATAGGTTTGTTGTTCAGTTAGCAAATTATCACATATCACTGACGATGATTGGGTATCATTCAAATTATCATCAATGTTCAGCAAATAATATGAATTACTAATAGTAATGGAGGAGGATGGTGGGAACAACGATACAGCGGTATGAGAAGAAATAAAGAATAATGAAATCAACGATAAATACATGTTACATTTCAATTAACCCTAAAAAAAGAGATTAATTAAAGATACATTGTTTTTGCCTGGATGATATAAGAGTATAATCGATTTCGAATATATCACCACCATAATTACATGCCAATGCCTATGTATCGTGTATCTTTCGACGCATTTATTGATAAAGGTTAAAATATCTTATACTGACAGCTTTGTGTTCTAACGCAAGTGTGTCATAGTGGGACGTACGATCATCCTAAGCTAAATTATATTGCTAAACTTACAAAATATGTTTCCCCGATGGTCTTCCTAGAATAGGCTTAAAATATGCCCAGATTTATGAAATGTTGAATAGGCTAATCGTAAATTCGAAAATTTCAGATGCCTGGTTGACAGTTATGTCGGACCTAATTCTTCGACACTCTTAGAACATTACAAAATAGACAATACTTTTGATACCAGGCTTCACTTAACATGGGAAATAATTTATTTTGAAGAGGAATATACGTCAAATTCAATAACGTTTGCCGAAAGCGTGGTTTGTAATGTTCCTGATTTTGTATAGATTTATTATTATTGCTTTTCAACTATTTATATCATATTTCAAAGTGTTCAATTGTGCATTGCATGATGTATTACATATATTTGCTGAATGACAAAAATTATACATAGGGTATCGAGTATACCTCGTCTGATATCACATTTATAGGTATTTCGGAACCAACTGCATTATGTTACAATTTTTTTATGTCGATTCCGACATCAAATTGTGAACGAAGGAATTCTACAGTATATAGTACATCAACTGAAACGACTAGATTAAAACATTAGTCATAAAGCATTAGAAACTTTTGACATATCTCGTCTCTCATAGTATAATCAAAAGTATTTTAAGACTTATAATACTTAATTACAATTATTCTTCTATTTGTTATATACAAAAGCATAGTCGAGGAATATTTTTTCGAATATTATAATAGATATATAATACTTTATGATCAGATATGAAAATGATGAGATCACTGATAATTCAGATATATGAGACAACATTGAGTCATCATATTTTTAATAAGAAATAATTTCAAGATATTAGGTTTGTTTATTCACGCACGTGATGTACAACTCAACAGGACGTAGAACTCTAGATTTTAATAGTCTTTGTTCTTTAACATATATTATTTCATCTATTACTAAAAGAGAAAAAATTCGTGTTTAGTAACTCACTGTTATTGGTATGTCTTTTATTATTGTTCACAGTTTGGTCTAATTACTCCAATGTTATTATTACATCACCAAAATATTACAAGAGTTGTTGTACGATAAAAATGAGGCGACATCAATTGTCATCATCTAATTTAATCTGAAGGTTGTAACAGCATAATAAAATTGTACAGTTCAAGATACGATTTATATAGTATATTAGTCATGACAATATTGCAGAAAGTATGATTATTGTAACTATTAAGCTACTACGCTAAACTTACGCATAAATAGTCGTTGAATTAGTGATTATACTAAATGACAAAAAAAAAAAAACGTTGTTTTTTCCATTCTCTATAGATTCTCACCTCTTCCTCTGCGCTTTGTTAAAATCTGTTTTATGCTCAATTACACATAGTGTATTATTCTAATTATAATACGATTAGTTGTTAGACATTCATGTTTTAAAGTGGTCAAAATAGTTATAAAAAAAATGACTTTTATACAAGTGTTATCAAGAAGAATGAATGCCTATACATGTAATTGTTCAATCTGGAATCTCTATATATGTAACTGACACATACATATAATAATGTCTAATCGATGGCTATGTTTTCCCTATGGAATGTTTTTTTTTTCAACATACAAAAAAAAGATACGGCTGATTTATTCATACAATCAAATTATTCAATACAATAGAGAAAGAATTGTCATGATCGTTCTATTATCGATATTATGAGCTATTTTCAACAAGTTATATTTTCCAAAACATCTGTAGTATCTCCTTTAACTTTCTATAAATAGATACATATTATCGAACATGCAAAACAGAACAAATACTCTTTTACGGTATAAATCTTTTGATCTTTTTACCTTCATTACTATGTGAAATAATAAGGAATATGTCACTTAATCGTTAAAAAATTTAAATTATTGTCTCGAAGAAAAAACTGGATTGTTCATAAAATTATGAATTCATTTCTTGTCAATTGCCGATTGAATAGTACGATAAAATGGTACTAATCAATGAAGGGTGGAGTAGTATGTTTTAACATAAATAATAGATCTATATGTCATTTAAAGTCCCATTTTATAACATTTATATGAATGAGAAAGAGAGAATACAGATTACAGAATTTTTTATCAGCGTATAAATGAAAAGGGCATCTTGTCTTATTCAAGTACTACATACTATACAATTGTTAGACAAGAAATAGAGATATTATGGAAAAGAGAAAATTATCTTTAACTGCAGACATGTCTACTAATTATGTTAATTGCATTATGAGGGCGTGTTACTTATTATTAGTTTATGAAATATAAATATCATCTTTTCTTTTTTGAAGTAATAATCATTCTTAGATATACACTCTGTATGATTTCAAACGATTATTTTATCTAATAAAATAAACAAATAAACAACACAACAGTTATAGTACTGTTATTCAAAATAAACATGACATTATATCGCATCATGTAACAATACCATTCTCATTTTACTTTGACTAAATACGAGAAGCAGATATATATCATATACTAAACGAGTATAACAAAATAACTAAAATATTCGTTTTATGGTTGATTACACTACTTCTCTGAACCTTCCCTAAGTTTGTGACGGACCGATAAATACAGTTTTAGCAATTTGATCAAATTCAAACCATCTTTTCTCATATATATCGTTTGAATTAATCCTAGAGTACCTTTTTCTATCAAATAAGCACATTCAGCTTATAGATCAAAGAATTGGATTGTCAAATTCACAATGAATACAAGTGATCTTCATTCTTAATAATACGTAAATAGAGACTAATTCAAACACCAGATCAGGAAACGTTTAGGATAGAAAAGCGTCAAAATCACACGTTGTGCCAATGTAACTGAAAATCTTACAATTTTCAATGCTATCGGCGAAACAGTTAACACATAATATACTAACTTACTTTGATATTTTACTGGGATAATTTTCAAATAAAATTTTTTTCACTCGACTATAAACTTTTCAATTTTTGAAATTGGAAATTAGTTTAATAACCTACATTTTTCGTTCACTCTTTGCATGTAGTTTTGATAAATGGTTTACTCATTTGTTAAGACACACATTATGATAGAGAAATTTGGATGAACTATGTTCATTGTGAATAATATGAAATATAAATTGACAAGGACAGTATATATACATGAGAGAGAGACAGAGAGAGAGAAAATAACACCCTATAGTGAATAGAACAAAGGCATATTCGATATGAATAGCGAAGCGAGTATAGATATTTGTATTATCATAATTCATATACTCGGTGTGCTGATCAACAGTTTACTCATTCATATTGACAATTGAACCAAAAACATACCTATACAATAGCTTACTTGATGAAAATACTAAAATCCTCAACAATATTCCGAAATTGTTTTTAGTTAGAAAAACACTTCATAATCGTAAATGCGTATTATTCTTTTTTTTCCTATATATAAAAAATGATGAAGAATAACATGTGGAGAAATGAACGGTTTTTATCTTATACATATAGTGCATATTAAGTGAGACGAAAGAGACACAGACATTGAGCAGTTGTTCAGAACAATGATGAAGGAAAACAATAATCATGAAAATATAAAGTGTTCTAGACACTTTGGTTTTTGTTCAATTCATTTATCACATATATATATATATATACACACACACACACAAACATGTAGGTCACAATAGAGAATGTCATCACTGAAGTATTTGTATTTATAATAATAATGATAACAGCCATCAAATATCTTGTATATAAATATATATATGCCTGAAAAAATACATGAATAAACACCGACTAAATAAATGAAGCAATCGGAAATATGGATATTAAAACTAGAATAGATATTAAAAATTCTTTCATTGATTTTCTTTCGATCTCACTGACATTGTTTAATAACTGAAATAATATACTAAACTTTACTGAAATATACTCTAGAAACAGAATACATTTGGCTGTGAAGAAAGTAAAAATACGAAGATCAGATTCTACTGCATCGACATAATAGAGTAGAGAGCAAAGTAGTTCAGAATGCATTCTACTTATTCTTGTACATTGCAAATGACTATTGGTATAACAATTGGTTGTACTTCTTATCGTATATTCAACTGAACATTATCAACAATTTTTTGGAAAAATAGAGAAAAAAGAAACGTGTAAAAAAATACAATACAAAAGTTTACCGAATAAAACAATGTCTAAAATATTTTTTACTTCTTCTTCTTTTTTTTGCCTTTTCCTTTCTTCTTTTTATGTGGTCCAATCTGTTTTCGAACTAACATTCCTCTCCACCAACTTTGGATCTTCGTAGCAGCATTCATTTGTTGTAGCTCTCTCTCAGCAATACGACGTCTTCGTTCTTTAGCTGCACGATCATCTCTCACAACTTGTTCATATTCGGTAAACTAAAACAAGCACAAAAGTATAAACAAATTAACAATAATAATAACATAAAGCACATAACGTACGTCAGCAGCGATTTTCTGATACGTGGTAAGATCAATCGCTCGAGCATTTTTCAATTTATCCAATTCTGTTTGTAAAGTAGCAGTTTCTTGATTATATTTTTCCAACCATTCTTCGGTTTTTTGTGATGTCTCCTGAAAAAAACTAACAGTTTGAAAAATATAAGTTTCAAGCAAATTAGCGTCTTACTTTGATATACGATCGAAGAAAGTTTTCGGTTTCACCATTACATTTCATTTCGTCCTCATAACGATTTTCCAAAATCTAAACAACATCAGATTCTCTAATTATTCTCATTGACAAGATACGTTACACGATAGTGATACTCTGTTTCTAATTCCATTTATTACTTACATCCTGTTCATGTCTCATATCTGTTTCGGCAATGAAACATTTTTCTTTTATTTGTTCAAGATGATTTTCACATTTTTTTTTCTCATATGTTATTTCTAATTGTGCTTTAGCTTTTGCTTCTTGTAACTGATCTTTTTGATATGCAATAACTTCAGCTCGACGTTGTAATTCAATTTGCTTTTCATTACGTACATCTTGTATGGCTTGTGTCAAATCTTTTATTCGTTGTCGACTAGCTTCTTCACTAAGAAAAAAAATTTAGCATCGATACATTTAAGACAATTGTGTATCTCACTAACAAAAGCGATGGATGCAAATGTAAAATTAAACAATAAAGCTATGTTGTTGCTCTAAGTACCTTTCATCTAACATGAACTCTGAATGTAGAAATAAACCATATGATTGCTCGCTTTTCAGGTCAGATAACTTTTTCTCTTACTTTCGAACAACATTTAAGAAATTCATTTTCGACTCTTGTTCTTTTTCGACCATTGCTGCAAGTGGCTCGATTGATTGCTGATTCAACAAGACATGAATTGCTTTTATTAACAATTTTTCGAAATATCCTCTAAAGAAGTCAAATATCAAGCGTTATTCAAATAAACACCTTTATTATTTACCTGTCTTGTTCGAGTTTTCTCATATTGTCAGCAGTCAGAGGATTTTGATTAAACATACGATTAATTTTGTTTACACCTGTTTTCAAATCAGCTGTAGTTTTTTTTAATTCATTACTCAGTTCGTCCATTAATTTTTGACTTTCATTACCAGTTGGTTGTTTTAATGTTTCAAGTTTTTTCTGACTTCGAGCAGATATTTGATTATCATAATCATCCTCAACTTTCTGCTGAGCACTCATAACCCGTTGAAGTTGATTTCGAACAATCTACACGTCGAACAAATAAGAATAAATAGTAAACAGAAATATTTGCTTATTTGAGATTAGTTCTTCATGCAATGTGAAATCTGAATTGATCGCATTAGTTCAAAAGTCACAATATTCATCTTGTAGAAAACTAACGCAGCATTTGAAGAAATTTGCTTTACGACTTTCTTTTTTAGTTACAGTAAAGCCAAAGCCTTAGACTTTTCAAAAGACAACGTGTGTCTTTTCTTTATATGCATGTGGATGTGCGAGTTTGGATAACTGTCTCTGAAGATCAAATCATCAAAATTTTGATAGTATTTGACGTATATACTCTCGATTTAGCTGAGAGAAAAGTTATAGAGAAGCAATCTCGTCCACTACACGTGGAGTGAAGATTAGTCCAATCTTCCAAGCTTTTCCAGCCTTGGATTTTTCTGAAATTCGAAAAAGCAATTGTAAATTAATTAAGAGAAAGTAGAGTTCTAAAAAAACAAACAATTATAACGCTTCTAACTCAGTGGTACTGTTGAACTGAGAGGAGCTTTTCCAGTACAGTTTCAACCTAATATTTTCTCTTCTTTATTTTCTACGCTGATAGGCTTAAATAAAATAACTGCAGTGTACGAAGGAGATTACTCGATGCCGCAGTACTAATAAAGAAACAAACTGTTTACCTCATCTGCTTCTTCTGTATACTGATAATTTGCTGGCATAATTTTACCAAGAATATGCAATTCTTCGGCCGCATCTTCAAACACAGCGGCATATGCTAATGCGTCTGCCGGATGCACGGACAACATCCTTAATACTTGATTTATCCTTCAAACTGAGTCTTTTGCAAATGTATCTAACGGATTACATGACTCCATTCATACTTCTTCGTAGCTGAGGACAGGCCTCTATATGTATTCCGGAGTAAAGTGTATAAGTGTGTAGTATTTAGAGTTATTGAACTCTTCTCACTCCAGATTAATCGGATTTATCGCCGATGCCAGTACTTTTGGAGAAAACTTTGTAAATATTTCTTTAACCTTTGTATATAGCCATAACTTAAGTTATTTTCTCCTCTTTGATGTGTCCATTTTAGAACTTCAATTCTGTCGTGGTTATTTCAGACCTCAACCACTCTATCGTTCTGCAAAATTTCATTGCGGTTTGCAGCGTGAAAACAATCCAATATTCGCACACGCAGTCGTCTTTGACGACATAAATATCTCTACTTGAAAATCATGCAAGGACTTCGATGTGTGTATCGGCGAGCGGGTGGAGTAGCCCAAGCTGTTTTGAATAAACGTTCAACAAACATTGGCTCACGATGGTCAAAATTAGCGATTCCAAGAGCCAACTTTCACAGTACGCAGAGTCTCTGCTAAAATTCTTCACAGTATTTGTTTACAATTTTTCTTTCCTTAGTTGTCGGTAGACAAAATGCACAACAAACGACCGCCACGCAAACAAATCCTATATCGTCAAAACAAACTCAGACTCAGAGTACTAATCTTCCTCCCAAACCAAAAGAACCTGTACAAAATAAAGGAGCTACAGGACGAGTTGTGTCTGTTATCGGCGCTGTTGTTGATGTACAATTTGATGATAATTTACCCCCCATTCTCAATGCATTACATGTTGAAGGACGTCAACCCAAACTTATTCTTGAAGTATCACAACATTTAGGTACGTCTTATTCCCTGTCTTACTTTTGAATTATCTATTGTTATTATTTATACGCAATTAGGTGATAATACTGTTAGAACAATTGCGATGGACGGTACAGAAGGTCTAGTTCGCGGTCAGCGTGTCACTGATGTCGGTTCACCAATTAAAATTCCAGTTGGAGCTGCAACTTTGGGAAGAATTATCAATGTTATCGGGGATCCAATTGATGAAAGAGGGCCAGTTGAGGCTGAAGAGTATGTAAAAGTTATATTGTTATTTATTTGTGCGAATAAAAATCGATTGACATGATGAGATTGATGAGCATTGGGCTATGATAAACAAGTGATTTCGACGTTCATCTCTGATCATCGATAAATGTTTTTTACCTTATTCAGAGAATTCATCAAATTTTATTCATTAAATGATTTCTTATTTTTCTTAGTTACGCAGCAATTCATGCTGATGCGCCACCTTTTACAGACATGAACGTCGAACAACAAATTCTTGAAACTGGAATAAAGGTAGTTGATTTATTAGCACCATACGCAAAAGGAGGAAAAATTGGTTTATTTGGTGGTGCTGGAGTGGGAAAAACTGTACTTGTCATGGAATTAATTTACAACGTTGCCACATCGCATGGTGGTTATTCGGTATTTGCTGGTGTTGGTGAACGCACACGTGAAGGAAATGACTTATATCATGAAATGATAACAACTAAAGTAAACCAAGAAACACTTCTATTATGCGGTATCTTTTAATCTATTCATTTCTTTTAAAGGTTATTGATTTGAAAGGAAAAGGTTCAAAAGTATCGCTTGTGTATGGTCAAATGAATGAGCCTCCTGGCGCAAGAGCTCGTGTAGCATTAACCGGTTTAACTGTAGCTGAATATTTTCGTGATAAAGAAGGACAAGATGTATTATTATTTATTGATAACATCTTTCGTTTTACACAAGCCGGTTCGGAAGTAAGGAGAAATATCAGAATTAAATATTTAAATCAAAACGTTTTCTCTATTTTATTTACTTTCAGGTATCAGCTTTACTCGGTCGTATCCCGTCTGCTGTCGGTTATCAACCAACATTGGCAACTGATATGGGTACTATGCAAGAACGTATCACAACAACAAAAAAAGGATCCATCACATCAGTACAGGTACATAAACAACATTAACGTATTTCTCTTCAGCTCTAAGAATGCATATTCGATTAGTTTAAAAAAACAATTTTTTGATGTAGCGTACTCACATTTGTAGTCTGCTTCAAAACTTAAGTCTCAAATGATCACATATAAAACTAAAAAAGTTTTGTTCCACTTTAGGCTATTTATGTACCCGCTGATGATTTGACTGATCCGGCTCCAGCAACAACATTCGCCCATTTAGATGCCACCACTGTATTATCGCGTGGTATTGCGGAATTAGGTATTTATCCCGCAGTAGATCCTCTGGATTCAACATCTCGTATATTAGATCCAAATATTGTTGGCGAAGAACATTACTCAATCGCACGTGGTATTCAAAAAACATTACAAGTTAGTTTATTGTGTATTTTTATTCAGAATCCTGTGCATAAATCATAGTTTTGGTATCGAAAAAACATAAGTAAACATCTGGTCATGTTCTGCGTGGTTTTACCTTTTTGTACTAATTCTTCTCTCCTTCCTCCTTCAAAAAAGTCTTGCTTACTGGCCTGAATTTGGTAGAGGAAGAAATGCACTGTGAAAGATTCATATTTTTCCTAATAATGTTGCTTTATTTTGATACAGAGTAATGTGTAACGTCTTCTTTTAGGATTATAAATCATTGCAAGATATAATCGCTATATTGGGTATGGATGAATTATCTGATGATGATAAACTGACTGTATCTCGCGCAAGAAAAATTCAGCGTTTCTTATCACAACCGTTTCAAGTAAGTATTCTGACGTTTTGTGTTTCTTGGTGTTCTTGCACTTTCGTGTAACGTTTTACGCCTTTTATGCGTAAAAAATGTATAGGGAAAAGTGCAAAAGAAAATAGCAGTACTAATAGACGTAGTAACTATTGTTGTGTCACTACGTCAGCATACCATGCTGACAAATTAACAAATTTTGTTTGTGTATGGTAAAAGATGTTCCACTTTATTCCTTGTAGGTTGCTGAAGTATTTACCGGAACACCAGGCAAACTTGTTCCACTCAAAGAAACAATAAAAGGATTTAAAATGCTACTGAATGGTAAGTTTCTTGTTCGTGATAGAATATACGTACGATAAACTGATTTACTTATTTATCCTATTTAGGCGAAATGGATCATTTGCCAGAAGGTGCATTTTATATGGTAGGTGGTATCGAAGATGTATCAGCTCGAGCAGAAAAACTCGCCTCCGAACGTTAAATTAAAAAACAGTATTCTATTTTTATTTTATTTTTTTCATAGACTTTCAGCTGTTTCTCTCTCTATTTGTACCTTTCTCTACATTATACTTACTATTAGAAAAATATCACATTTGCATATTTGTCCGTTTCTCGTCTTTTTTTTATAAAAACGTAATAAAATTAATTTAGTGAGAACAACAAACATGTGAACAGTATGGAGATGAAGAAGATAAAGGCAAAAAAGAGCATCTCTAAAACTAAAGGTTCCTCAGTGCAAAACTTTTTATTATCTCAGTGTTTAATATATTTATTTCAAATTGTGTACTCAAATTTTTTAAATATATTCTAGTATAAAAATTGGATTTAACATGCTCAAGTTTTCATCACGTAGTAAATATTGTCGAAATCAAAGGCCTGTTCTATTATTTTTATTGTACAATCATTCGCAGTGCTGATAGTGGTGAGAAAATGCCGAAAATATGTTTATATAATAAAAACTGAACAACAAAAGTCTGAACTTAATATGTCGAACGGTATATTTTCTTCACTTATGATAGGTTTTCACGCAAAATTCTCTAATCGATGTCTGTCACCAAAATAATACCATCTGGCGACAATATATGCAATGATACAACTGCAATGGTACAGTAAAAAACCTATGCACCGCGTTCAAATTGTGTCATGTTAGAGGACACATGATCGGAACATGCCGCGCACATAAGCACGTCTCTAAATGTCCTGTCCGGTAACACATATGATATGTCCTGAAATGTGTCATATTAACAAGCGCCTTATAGAAGGACACATCGAATAGTGTCCCTGCAGAAGGCATATTTATTGTACTCTGTCCTATGATACATTCTAAAGTGCTCTAATAGGGCACATTCAGTATGTTCTGTTGTCTGTTCATTCATTTTTTTGTTTTGCGGAAGTACGTCAATATAATAAATTCCAAATTTTACGTACAAAATTCAAAAGTTTTTTCGATATAATTCAGTGAGGTTCGAACGTCCATTATTCAAGCTCATTGCAAAAAAAATATATTGAGCGGCTTCGCAAAAAAAAAAATTGCCGTCTATGAGGACGCATTTTTTTACAGTGTACCCAAATGAGGTAAACAGAAAGAGACGCATAACCTAAAAATACGTTTTTGCTTCGTAAATTTTCCTTTGTCTCAGGAGCTTAGAATGCAGGCCCATAGCCAAGGGTCTGTGTGCCTGTTGTGCTCGGACACATCCCATAAGTAAAAATTGCTATTTAACTGCTATGAAAACAATCACATTTGATTTCTAAACGAAATCACTAATGAGATAAGGTTCGAGGCTCAATCTCAATATGTTACGCAGATACCGAATCTATGAGTGCATCTGTACGTTAGTTCATTGGTATTAATACTTTCTCGGTGTTATTGTTGTTGCGATGCAAATATTAGAGCTCTCATGAAGGATACTCAACTCTCATCGATTTTCTGTCAAAGAAATGTTCGTTCACCATAAACATGTTAACGTACTTGTTTAGATTCGAGTATCGTTCTAAAAGCTACTATTACGAAATCAGTGGACAAGTTAAAATCGTCTAATCAATATTTCGTGTCGTATTTAATTAACAAGCTCACATTTGGCTTTGATGAGGACATTATCAAGCCATCTACTGCTACTTTTTCAGAAAGAGGGACGAATGAATTCACAAATACATGAAAACATAGGCTAATGAAAATATAATCACTTTTGTTAAAAAAACCAAGCCAGTATGCTTGATTTTAAAATACGAGATTATGCATAAGACAATCGATATTCTCTTAGCAATGACGGATTAATACTACTTTGCATATAGTGAAATGGTGAAATATATGAATTATTTGTTGCTTGAAACAATGCTGGTGTTATTGGTAGTGCTATTTGGTTGTCGTTGCTATTAGACGATATTGATTGTTTCGATTCTCTCGATTTCAAACGTTCACGTTGTGATGTACTATACATAGTTCCGACATATTGTGTTACATGATTATTTCCTACACCTTCCTGAGTGTTATTAGAAGAATATTGACTATTCATAATCGTCGATAATCTAGAATTAAGAAGACTTTTCGAAAGTACACGATCACTGCTTCGTTCAGCATAGGTCATAGTAGAGCCAACGGTTGCCGAGTAATTGCCATGTCGAATGTTTGAACCTAAAATACAGTCGATCAGAAATGTAGAATTAGAAGATGCCAGATAACAGTGAATACCTTTACTGCTGTTAATAGATGGAATTGTACTGGCATGATGGTTGCCTTTATGTAGTTTAGCCAACATTGACTCAGCATCATCACGGTTTAACTTGATAGTTTTACCAGTGCTATCTTCAAAATATCCATCGACAATTTCAGAATCATGACCACGTTTCTCGTTCATCAGAGGACTACGTACGCGTGCTGTATTATTCGGTGATTCTAATAAATGTTCAATATTTTCTATATCTATAACGGGTATACGGTGCCGATGAGACTTTTTACGAAACAGTCTGCTAGATGATCTTTTTTTTCGAACTATGGTCGTTGCATTGTCTACCGGTAGTTCATTGTATTGATATTCATGGCGATGGGGATGGGAAGCATATGGTGTAGTGGTAGTGGGAATTTGTCGTTGCTGGGACAATCGATGATTTTTTGATGAAGAATGACTCGCTCGTTTCATATGTAAATCTGGTGTAACTACATCCATAAATATAATTCGATTTCCATTGCTTGTTATTCTATCTCCTTTCTCATTTATTTGAAAGTTATTTCGATCTCCCATTGATGTATTAGCGTGAGTATATTGGATTTGTTGTTCTTCCGATTGATAAAGAGACGGCTCAAGATCGACAAATAGAGGTTTTTTTGATGTTGGTTGCTCAAGAATATATTTTTTTCGACGATGTCGATATTTTCCGTTTCGAGAAGAATTATTATCATTCAAAAATGCCTGAAAATTATCATGAGTCTGAATAGATTCTGGATTTTGTCGTTCAGAAATATATTTTTCTATAATGACTGGGCCTGAATCTTTTGGCGTAGTATCAATTAATATTGGTTCAAATGAACTTGTTTGTAAATATGAAAATGGTGGATTAGAATTATCATCATTTAGAGACTTCGATAATAGTCGTCTTCGCTGAAGACGTTTCGACATAGATGAAGTTGGTCGAGACAGTGCCTGATACGATGAATCTGATGAAGATGTTCGGGATGAAGATCGACTACTGCAAGAGCAAGAGCGTTTCTCTTCTTTATCATCCATATTTTTAAGATGGGTATTTATCTCATTGATTGTATCGTCATGATAAATTCCTATAAGAAAATTCAATATATTACCTTATCCTTGTTTCAGTTTTTGCAACTATCTACCTTGATGATGGCCAAAAGGCGATGGTGGAGGTTTTGGGCGAACTACATTATCCTCATCCCATAATTGCCATACTTCAATTATTGCCGTGTCGGTTTTATAAAAATATCCATCTAATCTTGGATCAAATATACTATTTCTCTTTTCTTTCCTAATACCATCAGCAGGCAATAAGTAAACCATTCCATTTGTTTCCGTTAATTTACGACCATAACGATCAAGCTTAATAAAACATGCATATATTCAGTTAGTGACAGGATAAAAATTATTGTACAGTTACTTGATAAAAAATTGGCGATTTTAAAGATTTTAATGCAGGGTCAACTGATGTATAGGCTGTTGATAATGCTTTAACCAGGGCTAGTGATGCATCGTCACTTTTGGTTATAAAACAATGACATTCTTCACCAGTTAATACTTGACTACGCTGAAATACAGTACAGAATATTGGAGGATGTTTACTTTGTTTATTCGATTGCAATGCGTCTAATGGTGCAAAGTACCAGTCTGACGAGACGAATTGTTTATTAGGATCACCGTCAACAACTGCATAACGTAAACTTGCACAATACACTAATGATGTAATAGGATAAAATATAGCAATATAGGGATGTCGAGCAAATTGTAATTGTATACCATCCTCGTAAACGGTTACAATTGCGTCAATGCCTTAAAGAAGAAACAATAACAATTCGGCTCTAGTTAAAAAATAGCGAAACATACAAACCTTTAACAGTATTTGTTCCATCGACAGGATAACGCTTCGAAAGTGGTTCTTGTACAGAATCTAAACCTCTTAATCCCGCTGCTGGTGTGGCTGTGCCCAGATAAAGTACACCGCATTGTGCAAGTGGTTCATCTAATTTTGTTTGAGGAACATCAGGCAGTTTGGCTATGGACATTCTTATTCATAATTTATTCTAAATTAAATAGCCAAGAATAGCTGTTTTCTTTTTTCAACTATTTCTAATACCTAGTCATGAACAATCAAACTCTAAACCGCGGGGAACATTTTGATCTTCCGCAAAAAGGTTATGTTCCTACCCTTTTTTTCTTTTTTTAAAACAAGGTTAAGTTAAAGTTCGATAACTGTACATGTTTAGGTCATTCAAAAGCATTCGAGCATAACGTTTCAACTCAATTTTTAAACAAATAGGTCACAATAGTTGTAATAATCATTTTTTTGTATATATGATACAGACAATTTCGTTTCATGAATAAATTATAATGATTATGTGCATATTTAAACAAAAAGATTGAATTTGAATGTTTCGGTTCGATATAGACTATTCCATAAACAAAGGTTGATAGGAAATAGAAAATTGAATGTTGTTACATAATAAGTTTTGAAATCTTGATGATGGTACAAGAATGAGTTAGTTTAGTCCAATACTAAAATATCTTTCTAACACACTAGACGCTAAAGCCCCCTCCTTGGGTCGGAAACCTATCTCAGTCCAGATTGGTCTGATCTGAACCAAACTTTCAGGGAATGTTGACCATGTCAAGGTGTGGTAACGAAATTTTTTTTGGCATCACTTGCAACTGTTGGTGGGAGGACGCCACAACAAGGACCAAAAATAGGCATCTACCACGAGCAAGAATTCTCATTCCAGGTGAATGATAGAGAGCTCGGGTTATTTCTGATTTGCGGTAAACATCTATGGCTAGGAGTTGACAGAGCCCGAATTTCGAATTTCTCATTTAATGATTTTTGGTGCTTAATAGAACTTTAAAATCCGAAAAATCCGTAGAAGGTTTCTTAGAAATCCTCATTTCTATAAAAAACAGAAGCATAATTTAAAAATCGGACTCTGTCAACTCCTAGCTATAGGTGTTATCTACAAATCAAAACAAAAAAACTTTCTCCGATATATCGTTACCAAGAATTCCTGTGCGTGGCGAAAGCCCCAAAGTTAAAAAACAGTCTTGCGAAAAACGCTAAATAAGTTTGATTCTGTTAAATGCGTTTTACTTAAAAGCTGTTTGAACGTTAAATAGTTTGTTGATACTTTTCTATAGGTTATCGGTCATGTCGGATCTAATAAACATGTGCGGCACATTCGTGTGCATATGAAATACAGGTGCACAAAAGCCATTTCTTTTGTTATAAGGGTTCTGGAAAACTCGTTCAAAATTTATGAAAAAACCTATCCTGTCGACACAAAAATTATGCCATTAGAAAGTAGACACTTTAGGCTATCCAACCATGTACTTTCTCAAAATCAATATTTTTGACGAAAATCGGCATTTCTGGCCCATGCCTTAATTCTCTGAAATTCGTTTATTACCTGCCACTGCTACAAGTTGTGTGATGTATACTAAAATAAAATAATCATCGATCTTACGATCAACACACCTCAACCCATAACTAGTACTTTTACTGGATCTACGACTTGTTTTCAATTCTTTTGAAAACTTTTGTTCTCATATATACGTTCAGTTTAGAGCCCTGCGGGATTATCCCGATCCCGCGGGATCGGGACCGGGTTTCAATCGTACGGGACGCTCGAGAAATAAAATGCGTTTGAGAGAGATCATTCTTTTCAAAATGAGCCAATGCGCTTATGTTACTGAACGACAAAATTACGATAAAAGTTTCCCATTTAGAACGCGTTTATTCGCGTTTGATTTTTTGAGCGTGTTCATGGCACTAAAAGTAACTAAAAATGCCACAATAAGAACGAAGTCTCTAACTTTAAAACATCTGTATTCGATTCAGTTTTTAAGTCTCTTTTCAACGGTGAGCGTTACAATTATGTCCGTTGTGTATATGAAACAATATTTTGAATATTTGAAGTTAAATTTAATTTTCCATTTAAAACTTCACTTTTGCTTCAAATAAAGCTGGTTATCGTATCAAAAAGTGCTTTAATACTACGTGTTTTTAATACTGCTTTAAAAAGTAACCTAAAAATTTGAACATCGTGATAAGTTTTAGGTGATAAAAATATAGAAATATTTTTTTATCCGAATAATTTTGGTATAGTAAAGAAGTTTCAGTGTTTTTTTTGCAGAATCAAATGGATAAAAGATCTGTGGCTAGACACCCAGCCGCATAAAAACAAATTTATGTTCAGTAAAATGATAAAGCTTTCACATTTTTGTACAAAGAAATACGAACGAACAGTACATGTATGAATAGAAATAATACAGGAAACTCATAATGTATGCTGTCTGTATTTAACAAATAGCCAGTTACATTGTTTATTTTCTAATAGAAACCTCAAGCCCATCTTTAACGTCATTACTGTACTCTAGTAATGATTCATAAAGTTTTGTAGAATAATTCGGATTGTTTCTAATGTAATTCAAATAATCAGGTGCACCGGGATAAATGACATTATCGGCGACGATCATTGTTCCACTAACAATTAAATTTGCTTGCTCAAGTAATTTTAAATCACGTAAATAAGCATTTTTCCAATGATCAATAAATATAAAATCAAATGAAGATATATTAAAATATTCTGTTATTTTTGGTATCAGTGTTTCTGTTGAACCAACAATGATCTTAATTCGATCACTAACATTGGCATGTTCATGAATTTGCCGTGCAATATCAGCTGTTTCTGGATTTATTTCAAACGTCAGAAAAAAAGCATCGTCTGGTAAATGAGAGGCGATACGAAGGGAACTGTAACCGCAGAATGTACCTAAATAATATAGCTTATTTCATTAAGAGAAAAGAAATGATAGTTACATTAACATACCTAATTCTAATACCGTTTTTGGACGTCGGTTTTTTACTTGTTCATCTAATATTTTTCCTTTTTTATCACCAACATGCATCATTGCAGATTTTTCCCAACAATAATCATCGATCGTATGCAATACACTTTGAACATTCCCTTTTAAACTGTGTGTCAACACATGATTTAACAATGAACTGACAACAGACATCACAAGAACAAATAGTCGAATGACAAATATCTGGAAAAAGTAAATAGCAAAATCTAATTGTTTAGGCGATACACAAGAAACGAAATCTCTTGACCAAGAAATAAATTACACGCCGTATTGCATGATCTGAAAGTCGGCAAGAGCTGACCGTATGCACCGTGTTGTACTATCAAAAGTGTGTGAAAATATCCGTTGATCCCCTAAAGTCATACGAAGCTGCGCAGGTAGGTATGCACCAGATCCAGTTAACTGGAACCATTTAGAACTAGAACCGTGAGAACTGAAACTGTTGGAAACAAGTTTTGAAATGCATTCAAAAGAAATTTTAAATTCTATTGAAATTTTTATGCATCTCTAAGTGGAGCCACACTTTCACGGAGATTGTCAGTGAGTTATATGAATCACAGGAGCAGTCCCTTTATGAGTTCCATAATCGATTACTTATAGTTCATAAATTCAAGCTTCCAAAAGCGTTTCTATTAAAAGACTTTTGAGTTTTTATCTGCATTTTCTTCAATCGAATTTAAAATTTCTTTTGAATTCATTTCAAAATTTTTTTGCAACAGTTCGTGACAGTACCAATTCTTACATTTAAAAACTGGAATTGGTGCACACCTATGCGCAGGAATACTTGTACTTGAAGAATTCTTCAAGTACTTTAAGTGCTTTTAAACCTTAAAATACTTTTTCGTATTTTCAAACAGTTTCGAAGTGTTTTCTGGCGCTGGAAGCTAACCGTGAGTGTATCTCATAGCATTTTCGTCAACTGCCATCTATCCAGCGATAGCTGATGCGAATGCTCAATCAATATTGATCGGCTAGATTAACACTAGTCTTAGCGGTAGCCCAATAGAGGTATGAAATTACGTATTAACTTGTGTTAACTTCCAACGATTCAGTTCATATAAGAATTCTTCGTACCTCGTACTGTTTTTCATTTACACATGATGTACTTTCAAAATGATTATACGTCTGTTCTTTGCTAAATATCAAAAATAAAAATACTGCAAAACCTATCTGATAACTAAAAAAAAGTAAAGACATGAAAAAAAACCCATACGTCACTAAGATGAAGTAGTACTAGAGAATGATTATTACCAAAAAAAAAATTTCAACCCAAATCAACTTTCTTAACACATTTTCAGCGTGATCGTCGAACTTGTTTTTCCAAAAAAGTACTTTTCACGAATCGTCGCGACCAATTTTTCTTAAGTCATGCTAGGGTTCGCTATAGCGACTCGCAGCAAGACAGCGTTTATCCGTGAGTATCAAGAACAACAGAAAACAATCACATACATCTAAACACTATTATTATTCATCCATCTACTCGTGTTACCAACTAACTCTCTGCTCTCTCAGTTCAGGAATCCAAAGAAGAGACATATATGAACAAGAAACAAAGAAATAGTGACGCGTAGAAGATGACTGATGAAAGAAAATAACAAATATACAGGATGAGATGATTAGTTCTCGTCGCCGACTCACTCTCACAACGCCCTTCCACCTTTGATATTCTTTGAACAAGAAGATTATTGCGATAACAGCAGCTTTAAACGTCTTATATTTATTTTAATATTCATAATATTGAAATAAATATAAGATGTTTAAAGCTGCTGTTATCGCAATAATCTTCTTGTTCAAATTATTACCCATTACTAAAAAGAAATATTTTTTGAAGTCATATTCTCGTTTCGCCGACGTTTCGAAAAAAGTCGGCGAAACGAGAAGACACCGATGAGATAGAATGAGAAGAAAAGTAGACAGAGCGAGATAATTAGATATTATAGATTGATTTCTACTTTACTTCGGAATATTAAAAAAAGCTGAATATTTAAGCTTATATTGATGCATCCAAACATAAGTATGAAAGAAAAGACTACCCTAGTGGAACTTCTTGTACCCAAGATCTTGGCCAAGATCTTGGGTTAAGAAATGTCACAAGATCTTGGAAAAAACACCAAGAAGTCAAGATCTTGGATTCTTGAATTTTTCACTCAAGATCTTGGCCAAGATCTTATATTAAGAAATTTCAAGATCTTGGGTGGCGTAAGCCAAGATGTTTCAAGATCTTGGATTCTTGAATCTGTCACTCAAGATCTTGACCAAGATCTTGTATTAAGAAATTTCAAGATCTTGAGTGA